AATTTTGGTCGGCCGGCCACTCCTGGGAAGGTTCTCCACTGTTCCATGTTTTTGCCATTTGTGAATAATTTCCCTTAATAATAAAAACCTTCATTTAAAAACTGCATGTTGTGTTTACTTGTGTTATCTTTGACTAATATTTAAATTTGTTTGATGATCTGAAACATTAAAGTGTGACAAACATGCAAAAAAAAAAGAAATCAGGAAGGGGGCCAACACTTTTTCACACCACTGTACATGCGTGCGGCTACCGAACTGTATTAAAGCTTAAACAGAATAAAACCGTATATTAAAAGCTAACAGAAGCAGTAGCATTTACAAATAACAGCCTGAGCTGAGGAGCGGGATGTTTAGACATGCTAGAGGCGGTTTAGCCAATCACAACACACTGGGCCAGCTAACCAATCAGAGCCCATCGTGTATTTCTGAGGCAGGGGCTTCATAAAAACAGGAAATGATCAGCGCGTTCAGAGGAGAAGGGACAGAGGTGTGGATTAAAGGTAAATTGTGTTAATGCTTCGTTTATTAAAAGACGCATTATTTTTCACATAATCAAGCCTAGAAAAAAAACAGTCAACCACCCCTTTAAGAAGCTGTGTGGGGCAGCAAGAAACAAACTAAACAATGAGAGCAAGCTGTTCAGGAAAGGGGAGGAGAAGACAGCAATTTGTGATCTAGTGGATTTGGTGATTGAATATTTTATCATCAAGGACCACCACATGTCTGTAAGGGTATAAGATGCAAAAAGTGTTTGTATCAGTTTCTTAAATCAGAAAAAAGAGTGGGGAGTCTCCAGGACCAGGATTATGGAGTATTTTTATTTTTGGGAAACCTTTTCAAGTACATGATCTAACTAAATTTAAACTATAAACTATATAAATACTAGCAGCAAACACACTGTGAGATGATCACGGTGAACAATGCTGCACACAAGCATTGAGATCAAGTGTCAAGTTGAGGGATCAAGTGTTAAATGAAACTGACTGTGACGAGAGGGGCGGGGCCGAGAGCCGTGGGAACAGAGCGAGGCCGGTGGAGTTAATGGTAATGCGCGACACCTGCACCACTCACCGGTCTCGAGTCCTACGGAGGAGCTCCGGAAGGATAAGGACCTACTAACTTTGTTACACTGACAACTTGTCTGTTTGGAAGAGTGATGTTTTATGCAGTGTTATGCAGTAGCCATGACAGTTTTCATTGTATGAAGGGGATTTCTTGGATTTTCCAGAAGTCCCCAGGTACCCTAGTGACCACTTCAGACATTCATTAGAGGACAGTATTGCATCAAATGTGAGCTAGAAGACGTGAACCAGTTGGCCTACATCTTGGACATGGTAAATGTCCATGACTTTGTAAAAAACAATAGGCCTATATGGCAGTAATGTTGAACACAAAAGGCGGAACTCAGAAGTGTAGTGCCCAGACAGTATATGGCTTGCACATAACAGACACAAGATAGTCAAGTGAGAAATCCAACTGGCACCCTCTGCATTAATTATTTGCTGATGTATTTCAGCAGGTCACACATACTAAGGCTGCGTTTACACTGCATGTCTTAATGCACAGATCTGATCTTTTGACCATATCCAATTTTTTGGCCCGTCTGTTTACATTCATTTTAGACACGACTTGTATCCGATAACTGTTTACATAATTCCCACCCAAAATGATTGCGAGTGATTGCTTTATAGGCACATGGTAAACCCTCAGGTTTTGAATGGCCATGTTATTAAATTATTTATATAATTCACGTCGAGTGGCCATTGAGCTATTACTTGCCAGCATGGACAACGGCTGTTATGGATGTTTTGCAGCTCAAAATCTGACTGAATGGATAAATAACAGAAAATGACGATAATTTTAATTTGGTATGCTTTTTTATACAGTTCATTAGAGGTAGAATTCTTCAGTGAAATAAAGTAGCGCCAAGACGATATTTATTTAAATGAATTCGAATGAATTAACGAGAGACAGAGAGAGAGAGAAAGAGCGAGTGTGAAGCTTGCAAACAAGAGAAAGTTATCACCTTATTGCTAAAAAAAAAATGTAGCTTTTAGTAGCGAAGCTGTTGTATTAATAAAATTCACGGGACAGTGGTTGAAAACCAGCTCCTCAATATGCAATTTTTAAAAAAGTTTCCATCTCTATAAAATGCGAGCACATACAGCTCACTGGCATTAAAATGCTTTATTTATGGGCAAACGTGTCGCCCTCGCATTGGGAGTTCTGCGGGGAATCGGATATGTGTGTTTAGACGCAGGTCGGATGTCCAGGTATCTGATATGTATCCGATTAAAATCCACATTTTGAAGTGGCTCAGATCGGATGCGAAAAAATCGGATCTCTCGTGGATTTTTGTGTTTACAAATCAAATTCCGATCTGCATCAAATTCGGATCTGTGTCAGATGTGGGCAAAAAATCTGATTTTTTTCTGCCAGTGTAAACGCAGCCTAATTCAGATTTTCTCTCAGACCTATTGATTACTGTTGATAAAGCGCTAATTGTTGGAGATTTTAACATTCACGTTGATAATACAAATGATGCATTAGGACTTGCGTTTACTGACCTAATAAACTCTTTTGCCTCTGCAAGCTGTGCAGCATTTTCCCCCGAACATCACAAGCCCCTGTGGCCTACAGCTACAGCATCTGAAACAAGCGCAAAGCTGCTTTTGCTTGCAACACATGCCCTCACTTCTCAGTCTTTCCTCCTGTTACTTCTAATCCTTTTCCTTTTCAGTGGCCTCCAGCTTTTATAGCACACACTAGCATGAGGCTGCCTCTGCAAGCTGTGCAGGCTGCACAGGCTCTCCTGCATTTTGCCACGAATATCTCAAGCCCCGTGGCCTACAGCTACAGCAGCTGAAACAAGCACAAAGCTGCTTACGCTTGCAACATATGCCCTCACATCTCAGTCTTTCCTCCTGTTACTTGTAATCCTTTTTCCTTTTCAGTGGCCTTCAGCTCCTATAGCACACACTAGCGTGAGGCTGCCTCTGCTAGCGGTGCAGGCTGTACAGGCTCTACAGGATGTCACAAACCCCACTCCCTTCCCGTGGCCTACTGCAGCTGAGGGAAGGGTGAGGCTGCCTCCGCTTGCAACTCAGGCCCACACATCTCAGGCTTTTCCTCCCATTTCTAATGAACCCCTTTTTTCTTTTTAGTGGCCTCCAGCTCCCATAGCAGACACACCCGGAAGCTGATTTAAACGTCAGGCTGCCTCGGCTGACAATTGCAGCCCATGCACCTCTTCCTCATAGCTCCCTACTTCATTCAAAATTACGTTGTCTTCCAGATCAAGTTCCGGCTCCCCTCGAGCTTCAAGACGCAGCAGGCCGTCAGCAAGCCTGGGCTCGGCTGCTCCTCACACTGCGCTAGCCATTCAAGCTCAGCCACCTTACTCTTACCCTTCTGCTACTCCTTTTTCCTATCAATGGCCAGCAGCCCCTGCTGCAGACGTCCAAGCAGAGCAGCATCAGCCAGCAACGCAAGCTTACTGGCCTCCTCCCTCATGTCCTTCTACCTCTTCCTACGTGCTTCCCTAAGCACCAGAGGCTAATCCGTGCATGAGGCTGCCTCCGCAAATGGTTACGGCCCCTCCTTATTTTTTCCTTCTAACCCTTCTCTCTAATCTAAACCTCAGTACACTTCATTCACAGCAGTCCCACTACTTACCCCACTGAATGTTGCAGCTCAGGAACCACCCCCCGTGCCTAATACCATCAAGTCTCAGATTCTCGCAGAAATTCAGAGCGCTGGCTCCGGAGGTGGACCCATCGCCAACCCCAGTATCTCACTGTTCGCAACTCGCATTCCCATAACGAATCCCTTAAAACCTCCTCAACGCGTCACTCGGTTCGATCCTCCAATCAGTTTCTCCCAGAACCATCCAATCTTCTCTAACTGCTTGGAGATGATTTAAAGCTTTCCACCCCTCGTACAACCTGCCATTTCCCGATTTCTCCCTCCTCTCAATCACATCTTTCGTTTCCTACCTTAACACCAGTAAGAACCTCCAAGCCCGGTCAATCAAAGGTTATCTAAGCGGCATCCAATTTTTTTTTCCACAAATAATTAATGTACGGTGCCCCCTCTCCTGAAATAAACAATTCTCAAACATCTCTTTTGATCAAAGGAATTCAGTGCTCTCATTCTCCAAGCCCGGACGCTAGACAGCCGATAACTTTCGACATCCTTTCTAAATCCACATTCTCCACACAGGGTACCACTCACTCCATACCGCTCGTAGACTGGACGCTATGTTCATACTGGCTTTTCGCGGTTTCCTGAGATGCTTGGCATTCACAATAACTTCTATTCAACCCCAAACTCCATCCAACTGTCTCCAATCTTTCCGTGCTTGACAGTGAAACTCCTATTTCATCAAAGTAAATCCGATCACGAAAAAGAGGTCACCACATCAGAATTTTTTAACCTCCCGTCACCAATCCAACCATATCAGGCCTTTTTCTTGCCTACAATTCAGAAGCTCTCAGACTACATCCCCTCTTGACTCTCTTTTGTCGATGACTGACCGTAACCACCCCGTCACACATTTTTGGTTTCAAAAACATCTATACAAACGATGTTCAATAAACATCGTCCAACCAGTCATACCCGTAGAAAGATTTTCCAGCCACTCCTTCCGAATCGGGGCAGTAACTACAGCAGCTCAAAAAGGTCTCTCATAGTAGCAGATCCAAGCTCTCGGCCGATGGCCATCGGACGCTTTCAAGAGCTATATCAGGACCAATAATTTTCACACAAAGAAAGCCCATCTAATTTTGATCAGTTAAAAGAAATTTGAGGCTGCCATGCTTAATTTGATTCTGTCACAGCAGTGCCCCGCTCATTTGATACTGCCGCTGCATTGCCCTGCTTAATTTGATACGGCCGCCGCAGTGCCCAGCTCATTTGATACTTCCGCCGTAGTGCCCGGCTCATTTGATACTGTTGCCGCAGTGCGCTGCTCATTTGGTACTGCCGCTGCAGTGCCCCGCTTAATTTGATACCCGCCGCAGCGCCCCGCTTAATTTGATACTGCTGCCGCAGTGCCTACATTCGTTGTTTCGAGACTAATGGCTTATTCCGCATTGGACCAGGCTCTCCCTTCCGGTGCAGCAGAGCCGCGGCTCTCTTCGGTCGCAGCAGGAGCCCTCCATCTGTTGTTTAGAGATTCAAGGCTTATTCAGCATCGGACAGGGCTCCCCCTTCCTCGATACCGCCGCCGCAGTGCCCCGCTTAATCCGATACCACCGCCGCAGTGCCCCACTTAATTCGATACCACCGCCGCAATGCCCAGCTCAGTTGATACCGCCGCCGCAGTGCCCTGCTCACTTGATACTGCCGCCGCAGTGCCCTGCTCATTATCGTGCTCCTCATTCCGCGAAAGGTAGGGCTTGCCATCTGACCCGTAGAGTCGCAGCTTACGTTCAAGCACCGCACGACCCCTCCCAGTCGCCCTGCCGCCTCCTCGCACACCCTACTTTTCTTCATGGCACGCATATTTTTGGGGGCTACTTAGTTTTGAGATTCAAGGCTTATTCAGCATCGGACAGGGCTCCCCCTTCCGGTGCAGCAGAGCCCTCCATCCATCGTTTCGAGCCTCATTTGCGTTTTCCGCATCAGACAGGGCTCCGTTCCGGTGCAGCAGAGCCGCAGCTCCCTTCGGTCGTAGTGAGAGCCGGTTTTCTCTCCGACTGCTGTCTCATGCCATTAGCTTCTTTTGGGGAGTTCTCTGGGTTCGGGCTTTAATCCGACCTCGGAGCCCTCCCTCTGGACAGCACGCCAAATATGCTACTAATTGCTTAATCACATTATATGTTAGTGTGAACTC